GAGGAAACCCGGAGATTCCATTAACCACGGATAAGCGAATTCCGGACAATTCGGTTTCTCGACGAAATAAATTCGTTGGTTGGAGAAAACTGGAAAAAAGAAAGAGGATAGGGAAGAAGGGAAACGAAGAGAGAGTAATACAGAGGGCGATTGATATAGTTCACTCTCTTTTTGCATGCTTTTTCGCCTAACGAGATCCATCAGTAAAAATTCGTTGAAATTACGAAGATCTACGTATTTCTATACATAATTATTAATTCTTAATTCTAATCATTTTGTAAAATTGATATAAAATAATATTAAATATTCCAGTCCTCTACAAGTAGATTTTTTTTCACTTATGAGAATAAAAATCGTAATTAAATACTCGTTCCTGATGTAAAGCATAAAATAATAATAATTATAAATAAATGTCTATGTTATTTATATAAATAATAATATTTCAATAATATATCTATATAAAACTGTATATATTTTACATTAAAATTGTCTATCACATATTGAATAATTAAGATAATCGAATTCTCTTGCGATTAATTGTTAAGTTTTTTTTCTCTATTTCTTTTATTTATTTTTTTCTTTATATATATATATTTTTTTTTTGTACATATGTATACATCTATTCGATTATAGGTGATCAACTACGATAGTCCTAGGGGCGGTGTATCGGTGATCACCGAGAAAGGGGAAGTTACAACGTCGTATCTTCTGGTGCAGCATGCCCAGCCTGCAGATAGCGGCCAATATACCTGCCATCCAAGTAACGCTAATACAAAGACTGTCCTCGTACATGTACTCAATGGTATGTACATATATTTACGAAAAAAAAAAAAAAAAAAAAAATTGAAGCTTTAATATCCTTTAATAGTCGCAATCACTTCGATCTCTACTCTTTTCTTTTTTTTCTTTTTTTGCGATTTTAAATTATTATTGATAATTAATTCGCCGAATTTTTTTTTTAATGACCGATTAGTTCAATAGTTTCACCATCAGAAATTAACAATATATGTTTTTTTTATATTTATAGAAAAATATAATAATTTAAATATTTGAAAAATAAGAAAGTGTAAATAAAAAGTAATTTAAAAAGTAATAAATAATTAAATAAAAAGTAATTGAGTATTGATAATTAATAATTACGTGGCGCTAGTGTCGCATCATCGATCGTTAAATAAAAGTAACAATATAATTTTTTAAGTTTTAAGTTATTTCATTAAATTCTAAAATATGAATTGAATTTTTAATTCGATTCAAAATTAAATTTAAAGGAGAAATTAATTGAATCTATGTGATTAATTTTGATGAAAGCTTTCGTATCTAAATTCTTTTGAGATATGTATTTAAAAATATATATATATATATCTTTTTATAAAGCATTTGAAGTTTCTATGGCTTTAACCTTTTTTTTTTTAATATTAAAACCATCTAGATCTTTTTATTTTCGGTTTTGCAATGCATAAAAAAAAGGGCGATACATTTTTGCGGTTCAATAGATTATTTACTCCATTTGCAACGAGTGGCATACACATCAAAGTCTTGTCAATATTTTAATCATAATGAATACTGATATTTATCTATAAATTTTAATGTCATATTTATATTTTTATTGAATTCTATAATAATATAGCAAAAATAAAGTTATTTCATTTTTGTTAAAAAACAAAATTCAATAATATAAATTGATTGAAAAAAAATTGCGAACAAAATGTAATGCAAACATTGACTATTGATAGATTAATCAAATAAATACAAAATGATCGATTTTAATCTTAATAAATATGACAAATATTTTTGGAAATTACACATTTAATAGAAAATAATGCTTTCAATAGATTACTTGTGACGTGTATGACGTGTAAATCTCAATAACTTTTTCTTGTAATATATTTTTTATAAAATTGAAATATTAATAAATTACAATCAAATTCTCACTACATCATTCTATCGTTGATAAATTAAAAACTGATATCGTTATGAACAAGTTAATTTAAAATCAGAGAGATAATTAATATAACATAAATATGATGTGTACATATAACAAACAATTGGATAATTGACAGTAAACAAATAATTAGTTTAATTGTAATAATTTTTCAGACTGTTTCTCAAGACTTTAAGGTTTTAATTGTTATTCTTTCATTCTAATTAAAATGTATTTCAGATCTTTTTAGATATATAGTAGATATAATGAAAGGAATATTGTATTTACATATATTTATATATTTATATATAATATAATTGGACGTTTTATAAGAATGAAAAGATCTCGAACCCAATAGAATTAACATATACATATACTCGCGGTATAATTGAAAGAGGACAATAAAATTTTCCGAATATAATAAATTACGGTTTAAAAGTTGAAAATGAAAATGATCCGAATATTAAAAGTATAAAAAGTTCATTATAAATTAACGTTTAACTTATATAAAATACGGAAGCCTTTAAAATATTTCATACTCTTACTGAATCACGAAAGCTTTCAAGTAAATGGTTCTCTAATTGAAATTTTAATTGAAATGAATATGAGATTGAAAATGATTCACAGATATACTATTGAAATTTCTTATTTTTGAACTGATTTTATATTTTAAATTTCTTATCAGAATATTCATATAAATATATACACTTTTGCCTCTTCAAAGATTTATTTATATGATTTATCACGATTTATAAAGATCTATCAAATCTATTAAAGTAACTTGAAATAATTTTAAATTTTTTTTAAAATTTAAGAATTTAAGTTTTCGTTTTTTTTTATAATTATTGAAAAGATACAAAAGTTTTTAAATAAACGTTTTAAATTAATTTTTATTAATGTTAAATATATAATTAATGTTAAATATATTATTATATATACATTTATAATTTATTTACTTTTATTTACTTTTTATTTTTTTATCCTTATTTTATAGAAAATATCATATATCTTTTCCAAAAATAACATTTACAAATATTGAAAAGGATACATAAAATCCATTTTGTCTTTTAAATAAAAAAAATATATAAAATTAAAAAATTTTATTATGAATTTTTAAATCTTTATTGTAATGACTTTTTTAATCTTAATTATATTTTTCTCAGGATTTTGTTTCTTTTCTTATATTTAATTATAATAATACAATTATAAAGTATAATATTTGAAAGAAAACTTCAAATAATTCGTATTAAAGAATCTTTTTCTATTATATATTAAAATTGTCACGAATGCATAAAATTTAGAAGTAAATGCTATTTACAAGGATTCCTTTGCGTCATACGAATAGGTTAGAATCTAAAATCAATAGGTATTGTATTACTATACATATTTAGATATCATACTAGAGAATAGTCGACTGGAGTGCAAGAGTAACGTGGAGCACTTATCGGCAACCAGGTTAAACATCGATCGTCTAGGTTCACGAAAGAGACAGTGAACGATGCATTTTTCGCGAAATTCTGTTAGATTTCATTGTTTATTTGTCAATAACGCCATGAACAAATTGTCAATATATATTTGCGATATAAAAATGGATATCACAATCTATTTTTTAAAACTATTTTTCTTTTTTTTATATTGCACTTCTTCTCTTTCAATACACAATTATATTTAACAATTGTAATTTTTATTATTTATATTATATTATATAATATAATGAATCTGTCAATGTGATAATTTTTCATACTCATTTTAATAATTTTTTAAATATATCATGGAAAATTATATTTTATACAATTATCTTGTATATAATAAATAACGATATATAATATAATCATATAATTTTAGTTTTTGAAATATTTGCAAAAAATAGTTGCTACTACTATATTGAAGCATTCCGCTGAAATCGTCACACTTAATATTTATCCATTGAAAAAAAGAGCCCTTGGGCGAACAAAATGAGAATGATAGATATCAACCAATCCAACAGTGTAGGATTTTTTTTTTTTTTCTATAAATACACATTTTGAGGTTATTCCATTTTTAATCTATTGACGATAAAAAGGAAATTTACGAAGATTCGAAATTATCTTTTTCAAGTAGGAGATTAATAGGATGAAAATTTGTATGCATGGTTTTTCAAACATCAAGGCAAAATATTTTTTAATTCTTATTCGTATGCTCTAAAAAATGGAATTCAAAATGATATATCTCGGCAAAAGAAAATCTTACGAATCAAATTTAATTTTATGAGGGAAGAATAATATTATACGATTTAATTGATAAAAAAATTGAGAAATATTGAAAAAAAAAATTACTTTTTTTAAATATCTCGCAATTATAACCAAAATATAATTAAAATTCGATATAAGAAAAATCGATATTTTTTATATCTATTCCTAAGTTTAATGTGATAGATAATTTTTATAGCAGATTCAGCACACAAAAATGCATTCCATTCTTAAATAATAAAATTTCATTGATAAATTTTATCTTATAATTTTATCGCATCTATTTTTCATATAAACAGAATTATTTATAGGCAAAAATATAAATTATGGTTGATGTTCTTTTATATTTTTAAAAAGAAATAATACTATTATATAAAAATTAAATAATCTAATCTAAAAAATTCTGAAAATTAGATAAGATATTTTATAATTTTGTCGCAAAGTGTATTTCAAGTTCACTAAGATTAATTAGGATGGACCTAATTAGCAAATTGGCATTAATAATTAATATTAATTAATGATTCGTTGTTTGAATTTCATATTCATACTGCTAATTATCGTACACAGATCTATTTTGCCATACTATGAAATCTCATATCAAAACATATCTCGAAATTAATCATTGTAGGGCTTGCTTAATGCTTGTCATTCATACAATATGATATTAAAAGAGATAAAGATTTAAAATTGAAGTTAATACGATTGTAAAAGAGGTTTCAATTTCTTATCTCATCAGATTTCTGCCATTCTCTCGTCCAAACATCTCTTCATGTAAACTTCGACACTTGACCGATTTTACAACCTCGCTATGTCGTGGAAACTGCTATAATATACCAAAACTTTCAACTGTTTGACACTTTGAAGGAGCGATGAAATTTTGCCTGTAAATGTTTTTCTAATCTATTTCAAACTAAATATAATAATAGAAATTAAAAACTAGAAGAAAATAGAAAATAAAATTCAAACAATATATTTTTAATTAAATTATTTGATAAATTGATACTTTTAATAATAAGATATATCTTAAGAAAAGAAGAAATTTCCTGAGTAAGTATAGCTGCTAGTTCTTAATTGAGTCATCTAGAAGTAAAAGGGTCAAGTCAAAAGAAACGGAAAATCGAGTTACCTCGATGTTACAGTTCTACTTGAAATTGAATAACAAGCTTTAAGTATGAATTTCTCAAGATGAGATGAAATTGATTTACGCCACTTGCCATCCTCCCAATCATTTTGAGTTCTAACAGCCGAAGTAGAAGGATAATTGAAGATATAGTAGGACAGTAGTACTTTTTAAATTGGTGAAAAACCTTAGTTTCAATGGTTATTTCCTTCTTTTCCATTTTTCGAGAAAAGCGAAATAAGTATAAAAATAAGCTACACTTTCGGACAATGCAATTTCGCCTCTGAAGACTTTTCTCTTATGCCCATAAAAACAACAGAGTTATTTAGGTACTTCCACTTTATATAATATAACGTAACGTCGAGGAAACGAGACTAACTTTATCATCTAAAGCATTCTCCTTACCTTCTTATTGTCTTTGTTTTTTTTTTTTTTTTTTTTTTTTTTTTTTTTTTTTTTTTCTTATTAAGATATTATGCATTACAATTTGGAAATCTTTTGAAAATAAAATTTTATATATAGTATTTTATTAAGTATTACAGTTACCCAGATTTTTATAAAAATAAATTATGTAAAAAGATTTATAAACTTTGTCAATATATATGTATTACTTATTATATTTGTTAACACTTTTTACATTTTATATTTATACATTTTATTACATTTTTCATATTTTATATTTATATAAATTAATTCAGAATCAACAAAAAGCTAATCTTGATAGATGATTAAAAAAAATTTCTCCTATTTCTATTTCTGTGAAATTATCCTATCCGTTTTAAGATTTTATTTAAGTTTTTCGGCAGCTTCTTTTTATGTGATTGCTTCAATGCATTCGACACAATTTTATATCGTAATTAATAATTCGTGTTCAGTTTCTCAATTTCTCGTTTGAGAAAAGTCTATTATCCATATCCATATACGATTTGTCAATTTATTATATTCATATATAACTATCTCTTTTTCAATGGAAGTAATCTTCACTCTGATATGTATACCATATTTAATCAAGAAATTGTATCAATGTAAATTGTAAATATATTATCAAACATATTTGTCAATAATGGCGAATAAAATAAATAAGAGAGGAAAATTCATGAAAAAGAGATTTCACAAGTTTTTCATTAATTGATCCGTTAATGAATTCTCATTAAAAACTACTCATAATCATGTTCCTAGTATAAAAATCTGAACTCTTTGCTTTTTTGAAACAAAAAAAGAAAAAGAAAAAATTGCAAAAGGGACTGGAACAAGCAAAAAAAGAAATAGTAGTATTTCATAACACGATACAGTGTAGAAAGATTTGTCGTTTTTCATCGAGGTTTTGGCCACATTTATGGAACGAATGAATCCAATCGTTCTTGCCGGAAGATAACGGGCTTAGCAAAAAGCATTTGGTTGAGTGAGAAGAGTAATTAAAGAGATTTCTCAAAGTGTATGGGGCGTCAAACTGAACTCGGCTATTGTTGCAGTCATCCCTTCTCTGCAAAACCATACTGCCAGGGAGATAACCTTCAGGAAGTGGAATTACGGATTAGAGCAGGATATGTCTGACAAAGAAAGATAAACGTCTATCGGTGACAATGATGGTTTATCAAAATCGATATCTTCTATAGTTTTTGACTTTTATCCGTTTAAGGCAACTATCTAGGTATTAGTAATATCACCTTATTTTTGCAATTTTGTCATATGATTCTTTGTTACGTAAATGTTATACATATATCAGATGGCTCTTCATATAAGATCGTTTTCTAACTTAATCTCCGCAACTTTCGGAAAGAAATCTATTTGTATGTGATCCTTTATAAATTTTCCTTTTATTATTTATATTATTTATATCATTATTATAAATATTCCATTAAAATAATTAATTTATTTTTATTCTATATTTTAATCTTTTTTTTTAAATAATATTTTCATATTGTTTTTTATTTTTTAATTTTCTATTCATTAATTTCTTTATTTCTTATTTCTTATTTTTAAATTTGTTTATTTCATAATTTCTCAAATCTTAATGAGATATCAAATAAAAACAAAAGATATAATAGCGATGAAAAATAGGAAAGCATCATAGTGAGGGAAACAGCCCGACTTTCTTAAGTAAGCGAACTCTTTGCACGCTATAATAGCTATTGTGTCGCGTTAATGCGTTCACACTCTCGAAGAAATCAGAGAAACACTCAATGTTAGAATCACAGGATACAGAAGAGGCTATCGTATAATAGTAAGAATTTCTCTGCTTAAATAGATATTTCAAAATATGAAGATCACTTTTCTTTGAAAAAGATGATATGCTTTTTTCTTAAAAATGTGATTGGAAAATTTTTCAGATTAGCACAAAAACTTATAAATGTAGATGAAAATTGTATTGAAGATTGTTTTAAATTCTAACAACGATGTATATTAAAAAGAAAAAAAATTAAAATTTGCTTTTTAAAAAAAGGTTTATATTTCTTTTTTCCTATATATTGTAATCTAATACATATTGATAGATAAATTATATTTCTCGTGTTTTTAATTTATAATTACTGTGACAAAATTCATTTTTTTGAAATTATTATTTTTTTATTCATATATTTTAGTTTGAACTTTTTAACTAATACAAGGAAAAAATATAGAAAAGATGAGAAATAATCAATCAAATCGAATTTCAAATTCAAATCTCTAATTTAATAGAAACACTTATTTATATTAATCTTGAATTTATTTAAAATAATTGACAAATTCATAGAAAAATATAAAATACAAAAATAAAAATATATAGAAGAAAGGCGTATAAAATTAAAAAATTTAAATATAGAAAATATATACATAAAATTTCGAAAATTTTAATACAAATTAGTTGTATTAAAGTAATAAATATTTGATGTAATTCTAAGTAAATATTCATAATTTTAAAAATCTTCAAATTAATATTTTATATTTTTTATATCCTCTTTTTTTTAATATTACATTATTTCTTCATGAATCAAGTATAATAAAACTTCTATTAAAATTATTAGTTTAAAATAAAAAATTTAAATTTTAAGTTTTTAAAAAACTTGTTTAAAATCAAATTTGGAAAAAAATTAACATAAAAATACATAATTTTTTCTTTTTTTTATTATTAAATTTTTTATTTTTATAGAAATCGAAATTTTTATCTATTAAATAATAATCACGAAAGAATATTATTAATAATAATTTTAAAAAAATGAAATTATTATTAAAAAAATGAAATCATTATAATAGAATCTTTCAATTATATAACTTTTCTTAATTCTTTTTTTTTTTTTAGATTTTTTTCTTCATTATTTGACGAGATTAACATGATAAATATTTATTTATCAGGCTTATATATATATATATATATATATAGGTATATGTATATTATATGTATATATATTATAATAGAGAAACAATTCCAATAAGATGACGGTGGTGCTAGGACGGAATTCAATTTGAATTTTAATCATTGTTCGGCAGGGGAACATCCAGCAGCGATGCAACACGGTGGCCAACTGAGGTTGGCGAATCTGCCATTCGTAATGATTTCAACAACTTTGTTAGCCTTCTTGAATCATCGTTATTGAACCAGGCCTCATCATGGCATTACGAAATATTCATTACGAATATTCATCGGTAAGTTGCTTGAATCTCGAATGATTTGTCGTGGAAATGTTTAAAGAAGAAACTATTATAATATTCCACAAGAAATTTAATTTTACACGAATAATTTTGTTACGAATATATATGTATATTGTAAGCAACATTGTCATTTTTGAATTAAATTTTCAAATTCAGTTATTTGTAATTCAATCAAAACGAATTTAATCATATGAATGAGAGAATTTGTGTGATTAATACAATTAATAATTATGTAGAGAAGGGATTTTTTTTTATCAATTTTTATGTTTTTTGAATATTTTAAAAATCAATATTTTAAATACTTTTTCCTATTTTTATAATCATTTTTTGAGATATTTATATTTTTTTCATATTTACAAAAAATATTGTTATATGTTTATAAAATTTTGTCTATATATATATATATGTATGTATATGTATGTGTATATGTATATATATCTACGATAGCATACCAGTTGCCATTTAGATTCTGTTAATTGTACAATATTGTTTAGAAATAAATAATTTGCTCGGAATCGATTAGTTGCTTATTATATATATATATATATATTATTTTGCTTACTTTTGTTTTCGAATGAAACAAAAGTAATATATATATATTTTCGAGAGAAAACACGAGGAAAGATCAAAAAACTCGAAATATTGATAAATAATAAAATGATTAATCAAGCAACAATATTATTCTTTAGAAAAAATATATCTTTTTATTTTAACATTTTATTAAACATAATTAATAAAATATAATATTTTAATAATATAATTTATGATTTCAGAATAAAATAATACATCATTGATAGTTGCTTTCGAAAAATTAAATAAATTCAGAAAATGGCTGCTATGAAGAGGAAGTAACAACCATCTTGAAAGTATACGATTCATACTAAAAAAAATATCGATAAACAATGGAATTGTAAAATGATCTTATTGGATCAAGAACATAAGAAAAAAAATATGCAAAAAAGAAAAAAAAAAGTGAAGTTAAAATCGGACCATAATGCGACATAACGGATGCTGAATATATTATAAGAAAAGTAGTTTGTTGTAACAATAAAAAATAAGAATTATTAAGGATGTCTTAGAATGAAATATAATAAATATACTGTTTTGTTTAATTGAATGAAGATTAGAATTAAAAAACTATAATATAATCTATATTTTTAATTATATTTAAATTATATATTTAATATAAATAAATTATATATTTAAATTATATTTTTATTAAATAATGATTATTTTAATTAACAAAAAATAAATTCAATCATAATAAATTTTATATATTAATTTCAATTGGAATTAGAAATAGTTGAATGAAATTATCTTAAAATTATATATCGAAATTATAAAAATCAAACCGATATTATAACTAATTCCGATTTTGATTCTTAAAAATTAATTTTATATCAATTCTAATTATAATTAATAATTATATTATTTTTCGGTTTTATATCAATTTCAAAACAGTTTTACAATTAATACTTATATTGATACTATAGTAACTAATTTGCAATTTTATAATTTTATAAAGTTTACATTTTACAATATTTTTAATTTTTATTTTTTTTTAATTTAAAGCAACATATTTTTTCTTTCATTTATCCAAAAAATTAAAAAAAATAAATTATTATA